TTCCATTTATTAGAACATTGGTTTTTACCTGCTTAACATTAGGTGTAAAAAACCTAATACATTTCGTTTTATTCTCGTTTAAAAGTAAATTATTAACATTAAACCAGTTCACAACCTTAGAGAGAGTGCTGTTCACGTCATCAGTTACTGATTGCTGTCGTTTAAGTTTAAATAACAGTGAAGTGTCATCCGCAAATAGCACTATCTCCTGATTATCATTTATCACATTAGGTAGGTCATTTATGTAAACCATTCATTACTTAAACAGGACATTTACTTAAACAGGACATTGGCATAGAACACAAGAGTTCCAATTAGAAAAATCATTTAAATAAATAGCGACTCTCGCGATGTTCAATAAAATCGAATTGAGGTTTTACAGGTTATGTCTGCATAAAAATTGTCTCTGGCGACATTAGGGTTGCATTTTTGTAACTTGACAAAATTGAGTTTCGTATCCTTACTTTTGTTTATGACAGTGAACGAGAGTATTGAACAAATATTTGACTATGTTCTGCGGCCAGACCGGCGCGCGGCAGCCCTCTTTATTTTGCCCGACAAGTCGAGGCCTTTAATTACTACGGAATAGGCCCGTTTCTGACATTAGATAAACTGTAAATGACTTGATTAAGCGTAAATTAATAGGAGCTAATTAGCAGGCAAAAGCTAGTAAATCATAAAACACTAGACATCATTCATCAGCTGTTATCAGTTCTGATTGTGATTTTTGCTTTTAATTCCAATCCGACAGTTAGTTGGTACATTTCACATATTTTTTCTTAGCGTGTAAAAGATACATAGAAAAACGCCAAGCATAGATTTTTCCATGTCATGATGCGCAACTTTGAACCATTTCCATAGAGTTCCTTTATTTACCAGTGATTCAGTTCTTACAATGGTTCTTACCTCTTACAGATTAAAATAAATAGGCTTTGTGTACTTGTTCCTTTTCTACCTTGTACCTTGTTCCTTTTCTACATTATTTAATGTTGTATCTTTATCCATACTAATATTAAAAATGCGAAAGTGTGTTTATCCGTCTGTTACCTCTTCATGCTTAAACCGCTAAAGCGATTTAGATGCAATTTAGTATAGAGGTAGTTTGAGTCCCGGAAAAGGACATAGGATAGCTTATATCCCAGAAATCATCCTTTAAGAGAGTTAAAAAGACCCCCCTTTCTTACTCGGAAACCTTAACCTCGGAAGTTTGTACGAGGAACTTAAATTTTGGTATGGAAATATTTGATTGTAGTGATGTGCCGGATCGTTAACAATGTATATCCGCGGATACGGATCCGAATACGGATATTTGGTGTCAAGATCCGCGGATACGGATACGGATCTTAAGTTTCTTACTCAATCGGAGCCCGTGACCTTGATAGTTGTCGCCACTTGACGCTTTGCCGTTGATATTGAAATATTTCATTATTTTAATAAGCTAATACAAAGATGTTTGATTGATCTCATTATAAAGATAGCTCTTTCAGTACAAGTTTCAGAAAAAGTAATCTGAACAGAATTCAATAGTTTTTCATAGCTACCTAATAACCATTATTCAGGGTTATTTTAAATTTACTAAAAACCTCTGAAGTGCATATTAGTAACATTATAAACAACAACTTTTCTTCTGGACTAACACCGAAAACGAAAGAAAAAAATTGTTTCTCCATACAAACTAACAACATTTGATTGGTCATTTGAATGGAGGACCAATTTCTTTTCATTTTGACGTTGGCCACAAAAAAAGTTGCTGTTTATAGTGTTACAAACACATACCTAAGAGTTTTACAGTGAATACAAAATCACCTATATAGAATTTCATCTATGTATTAAAAGATCCGCCAAAAAAGTCACGGATACGGATACGGTTACGGATCTCTCTTCTCCCTTGGATATCCGCGGATACGGATACGGATACGGATATCCGGCACATCACTATTTGATTGTAAAGAAAGGCTACCAATAAAAAGCTAGTTTAAACATATAAGAGAATCTATTCATAGAGTAACAAAAAAAAACGCCTATAACAGTTGGCCTTCGATGCCATACTGGATGTCTGATGGCATTTTAAATATTTAATTTTTAACTTAAATTTTACATATATTTATATTCTAAACTACTTGGACTCCTTCCCTCGTCTAGTGCTTACGTAATAATTTTGCGTAAGCAGGGAGGAGGGACATTGCATTGTTTCTTTCTAATGTTATGGGGGTCGGGTGGCTTGAATTGCGATAACGTTATAAATATTTAGAACGCATTCTCATTTTATTATAAAGCAACTTTTATTTACTTCACACAGTTAATACTCGTATATGAAATCATAGGCAAGTTTTGCATCCCGCGGGACACGGGATATATTCCTAGTGCGGGAGTTGTCTATTTTACAGAAAAAAAAATGGTGTAAGTGTTTAATACTTCAGTACGGCCCGTTCCGTTAAGACTAACGATAATTTGTGTTTATAATTTGGAAATACTAATTCAGTTGAAAGAAAAGAGGAAAAAACCTGGCAGGATACATGATTTCGGATACAGATATCGGGTACCTGATAGTCAGGTCACCTGATGGTAAGTGACTATCGCCACCTATGAACACACACACGACTAAAGAGTCAGAAATGTGTTGTCGCCCTGTGAGTGCTCCAGGAGGAGGATTATTTTAAAATGTAATCTGTGGAAAATGTAATGTCTACCCACTATATTAGTTAAGTTTAGTTATAAGGATTTCATATGTATACTTATTATACTACTGTTTGTTTTTCCCAAATAAAATAAAATAAATAATAAAAACTATCGACGATATAAACTAGTGTGGCATTGGTTAGAAAATTGCCATCAAAATTATTCAGCGTTCGGACAACACTAATTACAGCATATAATAAAAACGTTCAAATTTAATTTATCATCAAATGATAATATAACAGCAGACACAACATACAAATATATGAATACCTACTGAATTACGTCAGATGACGGAGTGTTTGCTCATACTACATAACATTTGACCTCTTTCTTTCAGATTGGCGCCATTTCAATGTATACCTAGACGGCCGAACACAGACAGAAATTGGTATTGACAAGTGAGATACATAAGCAAAATATATGTATAGTTAATAGCTTTTTTTTGACGGGGTGGAAAATCCATTCGGATCTCCTGCTCCTCGGGGACTCAGGAGCCAGGAGTATGTGGTGATTTTACTAAAAACGACCCCGACGGCCGGCCTCAGGTGCCCTACTCTGTCGTGTTAATGTGTCAATTGAGGACCTGAAATAACATGGTCCAGGTCCTCCCCGAATAGGAAATATGCACGTGACACCGAAGTGGACAAAATATTTTTATTTGTAATTTTTGTTGCTAAAAAAAGATACCCATACAATTATTTTTGAAATTTATTATAATTTAATACTGAAATTTAATCATCAAAAATTGGCTTTTTTAAGATTCCCTCGCAAATTTCTAAAACGCAACGCTATTGGTTGAATAAAACGTGACGTCAACCTACACTGTCAAGAGTGTCAACAAGTTGTGTGTATTTGTAATATTTGGTTTCCGGTGATTATTTGTTTCATTTTAAGTTAATAACCAATACGTTTTCAGTGTTAAATTATTAAATTCCCGTGTAGAAAGACTCAACACAATGACTGAATATTTAAAATTGCACTTTGTCAGGTGCAGTTTTGATATAATTTGGGCTTTGTGCCCAATATTTATACGGCACAATATTTATAATAAGTTTTTATTGGCTTTTCCATGGTAATAAGTTAATTTTTATCACTCACTTTTTTAACTTTCACAAACTTTGTGAACTTCACTCCGTTGTTGACATCGAATTCGTCTGAAAGTGGAATATGACGTCACAAAAAAAGCGCGCCAAAATGGACGTGTTCAAATTGCCCCAAAATGATAGTGATTTTAATAAATTTTTTTTTGCTTAACGGTTTATATTTCGGATGTGTTATATTTATTTTTGTTAATGTAATAACTAGTAGAATCGTTTAAAAAAATTAAAAAAATACATGCATATTCCCTATTGACACCATGCCTAATCAGGCCCATTCCAGGGAATCTATACCAGGGAAAAAGGCGGCCCAATTTTGTCTTAATGCAATCAGGCTGCCATCCTATCCCCTATCTGCCACCGCAGCATTCAATCTGCCACCAGAGCTATTTTTGGAGCATTACAGCTTCACAGAAAGAGACCACTGCACCCCATCCCTCCTCACCCGCCAGCATGGCAGCAATGATTGCTGGCGGGGACAGGTCTCTTCCGATTTGGTCGACCAGGACTTCGCGTTCAGACAGTGAGAGACTGCGAGAGGCAGTCTTCCAGCGTGTGCTGGGCGGAGTCCCAATCGGCTGCGCAGTATAAATATACTACTTAACATACAAATATAACTATATCCGCGAGGGGAGTAGGCAGAGACGTATTAAACGCAGCCCCGGATATACGATTTTGGCGCCCCCTGAAACTGCCGCCCGGGGCAGATTTTATACCACCTACCAAATTTTATAGACTGTAACGAAAAACTATTGTGTGAGACATACCGAACTTCTTATAAATCTGTACAAACAAATAGAATGTCTGTGAAATGAAGCAATTGGATTATAGTTTTTTGTGTGTATTTAGTTGTTCGTCAGTCGTCTAATCTCCGGAATGGGTGGACCGATTTCCATGAGACTTTTACTGGTAGATAGCTGATGTTATAAGGAGTTACTTAAGCTACTGTTATTTTGGAAAAAGAGAATTAGGGTTTCGAGCAAAAAAAAAAACATGAACAGTAAAAATCATATCCAATGATATCACAACTCAAAAAATAAAATTATCGAGAGAAAGGTGTTTAATGTTAGAAAATTTAGTTGGGAATCTGGAGTAAGCCAAGTAAGCTTCTAATTTGCTGAAAAACCTATATGAATTTAAAGAAAAAAAATTTGGATTTTAATTTAATTTTTTGCCATCATTAGGTATGATTTTTTGCCGTACCGCCGTCAAGTGTTAACTCACCATTTTCATTGCCCAACACGAACACCTTCCTGTTAAAGTACTCTTCATAAGATTCGTGGTGTACCTGCTTAGTTACAGTTCGATTATTGACACGACGCGTCTCGGTTGTAGTCCAATGCACTTTGCAGAACCCTTTAAAACTTATATATATACCTGAAACAAACATTTGTGTTTAGTGCTAACGAAGAAACAAGGCAGTCATCGACGTTTTAGCTATCTAGATTTTTTAGATTGTAGATTTGCCAGAAATCAAATCTGTGGTTTCATTGTAGCACTTGTGATCCCAGCACCTCAACTGATTCTTAAACGGTATTGGCAATTGTGACCAGAGCCAATAGTTTTTTTTAAATATTTGTTATCATTATCTTCTTATACTTTTCCCAAATTTACCTGCCTAGGTGGTGCAGTGGTAGCGTACGCGACTGCTATGCTAAGGTCTCGGGTTCGATTCCCAGATCGGGCCAAATGTTTGTATGATCTGCAAAAAGCTGACCGACCGAAAGCGCAACTTAATGTGAACCTCTCAAAAGGAATAAATTTACCCCGTTTCGCAACTTTTTCATTGATACTCGGCTCCTTTTGGTCGCAGCGTGATGCTATATAGCCTATGCCTTCCTTGATAAATGGGCTATCCAACACTAAAATAATTTTTCAATTTGACCCAGTAGTTCCTGCGATTAGCGCCTTTAACCAAACAAACACTCTTCTGCTTTATAATATTAGAATAGCTATTTGGTGATTACGGTCACGTCTGAGATACACTTATAAGTGTTATTACTGAAATAAATTATAGAGGTTTTAATGCATGGTGGGCAAACGAGCAGACTGTTCACCGGATAGATCGTTATTCGAGGATTTGACAAAATATATGGTTTCTTTCTAATTCATAAAAAACCTAATTAGGAAATATATAAATCAGTATTGAAAGATTGTGGTGAGCTGATAGACAGATGCGCAGGAGACTTTGGTTTTTTACCATATAGCGATAATAAAAGAACAGGTTTAAGATATGCCACATTTATGACTTTTTTATAGAAGCGAATGCAAATGACGATGTCTGTTTGATATGATGGATAGTGTATTTTGTTAGGAGAGGCCTATGTCCAGCAGTGGACTATTAAAGGCTGTTGATGTGTGTGTGTGTATTTTGTACGGATCAGTTATCGTAAACCCCCCTCGGACTCGAACCGAACAAAAACCGGTACCCCGACGTACCTCGGGCCATCTACGGCTAATAGATGACCACCTGCATCGTAAACGCTCCTGGAATAAAATTAAACAACCTAATTTGAATACACTCGAGACAACAGGCAGATACAACATGAAGGTGACACTTAGGTGACCCGTGGGTCACGTGGGTTACGGTCCATTAAAGGAATATATTATTATTAATTGATCAAGAATATATTTGATTAGTATTGGTGGACTTTTCAATTAGCTGATCGATCATAGAACACGGCAAGCTCGTGCCTCGCATTGTCTTCTTGAAATGGATGGTTTTGTCATTCATAACGTGATTTGCATTTATTACATCGTTTTGTTATCAGCGTTTACGCTCCGAAGTATAGTAGGCCAAAACATTATTTCTGAGGAGAGGCCAATGCCCAGGAGTGGAGTATGAAAGGCTGTTAATGTGTGATGTGTTGTGATGACGCCCCGAAGGATCGCAAGCGTGATGTTTTATAGGCTATTAGCTTTTGCCCGTGGCTCCGCCCGCGTGTATGTCGTTTATCGCCGTAAAAAGCAGCCTATATCCTTTCTCAAGAATTAGAATTTATCCATGAATAATTTTATTAAAATCGGTACCGAGGATAAGCCGTGAAAGCGTTTCAGACAGACAGAGTTACTTTCGAATTTATAATATCAGGTAGGGATATTAGGTATTTTTCAATAAATACTTAATCTGATGTTCATCCCTGTAGTGACGGATTAAGAATACGGATTGTCACTACCCGTGGGTGTCGTAAGAGCCGACTAAGGGAGCAAACTAAGCAGGACAACAGCACTGCAAAGAGAAGGAAAACTTGAAAAAAAAAACCCTATACCAACCCGTCTGGCCAGCGTGGTATAGTAGGCCAAAACCTCCTTTCTAAGGAGAGGCCTATGGCCAGCAGTGGACTAGTATAGGCTGTGGATGATGATTGTCACTACCCTAATTCATCCCATGGGTGTCGTAAAAGCCGACTAAGGGCATAAAACAACGCATGACATCAGCATTGCATAAAGAAGGCAAACTTGACACAAACCCTATACCAACCCGTCTGGCCAGCGTGGGATAGTAGGCCAAAACCTCCTTTCTGAGGAGAGGCCTATGCCCAGCAGTGGACTGTTTAAGGCTGTCGATGTTGTCGAATGCAAAAGAAATTATCCAAATCCTTACTGTATATATTTCATTAAAAGAAATTCAATTATTCTTATTAGAGTACAGTATATTTGTACAGTAATACAATATACCTAATGTTAGGTACTTAGTGGCCGCGTGCCTATTATTTTTATTACAACCTTCATAAGGCAGTCGAAATATGAAGAGGAAACGGAACTTAACCGTTTATGGGTAAAAGGAAGTCTCACACGATTCCGTTGCAAGCAATGAATAAAATACTACACGAGTAGGTACTTATTAAGAAACTAGACACAATTATTTAAAGTATGTGTAAAAATAAATGAAAATCAGACTACACTAGTTTTTTTTTAAAAGTAACACTGCGAACCCGTTCTTTTTTATCTGTTCTGCATCATTGTTCGCTATGCTATATTAGATAAAGAGATAATTTCAATACTGCCTCGGTGGTACAGTGGCAGCGTATCCGACTTGGGTTCGATTCCCGGATCGTACTTGGTGTTTGTATGCACTACAAATATTTGTTTCGTCGTTTGGATGTTTTCTATGTATTATATGTATGTATTTACAAAAAAACAAGTATATAAGTTTTCTCTCGGTCAATCATCTAGCTTTCATGATACAAGCTCTGCCTAATTTGAAACTAGATGGCGTTGTGTCAGGTGTACAAAAATATGAATGATTTAAATATTGTTACTTTAATTCAGGCACATTTTTTGAAAGTTTTTTGTGTTATTAAAAATGCGCGGTAAAGACTGGTTAAAATTGATAAAATACAAGGCTATCATTCGTTTTGAGACAACTTTCAGGTTGCCGAGATAGTAAATATTAGGTTAAGCAATGATTTTATTTTGGCATTTTCTACGTGATCTGCTATATTTACTTATAGGACAATTCATGCAATCAATAGTTGTAGGCTTAGCCAGAGTCCAACCTGTGACTACATAGTCACAGGTTGGACTCTGGCGACAAGTGCAAACTTGTAATTATTTTGCAGCAGGACATAGCTCTCAAACACAATCCAGAATTATTCCAAGAAAAGCTAACTATGTATGGAGAATATCCATAGATTTAAAAGGTCTTTCATTCTTCTTTCATTAAAAGGTTTGGTTGTGAAATGGGTGGGTTTCGGAAAGATATTAATGAATGTAAGAAAATTTTAATAAAAAAATATTAAACAAAACTCAAAACTTCTTTTTTGTAATGTTTACTTGTTTTGCTAATTATGATTAAAAATTAAAAAAAGAAACATTTTTTTTTGTATTTAAGTTCAACTTTATTTTATAAACATGACATTACATTCTTTGTCCCTAAAAACCGGGAGGATGGTTTGAGTGGAATTATAATTATGTATATATGTAGGTATAAACAATTCAAAAATATGTAATGGCATTAATGAAAGAAAGAAAGAAAATAAAAAGTATTTATTCACGGTATAATACATATTTATCAGTAATTTTATTACTACTGCCAAACTACAGAGCAGTTTGTTGGTTGTAGCTCCCATAACAACATAACAATTTAGCTTTCTTTGTTAATTACACTTTCTCATAATATTTAATTACAATTCTCTTTTTTCTCATTTCTTTTTATACGCCCGCATTAGCAATATATCCTGTGTCGCGGGGGACTTTACAAACATACATGAAACGAACAAAAATAACACCCAGACTCAGAACAACAATTTGTGCATCACACAAAGTGTCGTCCCATGTGGCGATCGGACCCACAACACTGTGTGCGTGCCGACCGCTTAAACCACTACGTCATCCGTGCAGTCAATGTCTACAATTAAAGATCGGAATTTCTAAATGACAATAATAATTTTAAAAATATTAATTACAATTAAATGATACTAATAACCATAAAATAATTAAAGTATATTGATAATGTATATCATGACCCACGAAAGGTAGAAGAAAAGCTGTGCTAATAATATTGATGAAACATAATCTCCATTACATTTTTAATTTAACTTTAGGGATTAAGTAATCTTTTGTGGAATGATTTGTCATTGTTCTACTAAAGGAATACTAATAAAACAAAAAAAAATCTTTAAATTTTAAATACATCAGTTATCTAGTTATTCAAAATTTCTGTACTGTCTTTAATACTTATTATGTTAATATTAACTGATATTACATTCTACCAAACTGAATGGAACATGCCCATGAGCACCAAATTATGGGTATTTGTGTAATTTTTTCGATACATAGTTGGAGTAGAATTACTTAGCAAGTACAAAACAATTAAGATTCCCTCATAATATCATATCTGTGAATAAAAGTATACTATTGCAAGCCCAAGCCAGTTATAGGCTTTATATTTAAGTTTTTTTTTTATCAAAGAAACTCAAATTTAAAGTCCATCTAAATTTGAGCTCTTAATTTTTAGAAACAATTTTTTTTCATACAGTCTTTATCATCATAAGACAATGTTATAAGATCACTAGTAATACATAAAAAGTATTTCTAAATTTACTCGTAAATTTAATTGACCTGAATATAGACCAGATAACACTGAATACAACCAACACAAACATTTTCATTGAAGGTCAGGCTTCACCAGATAAATATGATATGGTAACAAAACAAAGCAACGGTAAAAATACATTGACGATATGTCAGCTTTATCTAAATTTGAGAAGAATGATGTCAAGTTATATCATTTTTATTTACATGAGTTTTTACTGGCAATGGCCTGTAGGTCTACTGGTTTGTGACCCTAAATCCTAGGCCAGATGTTGAGGGTCTGATTCCCACTTAGGATGAATAATTGTGTGGTAAGCATGATCTTTAATTTTGTTCTGTGTGTCTATATTAAAGTATTTAGTAATATATCATCAGCCTATTGCCATCCACTGCTGTACAAAGGCCTCCCCCAAAGAGCACCAACCTCTCCAGTCTTAGGCAATCAGCATCCATCCGCTGATAGCCATTTTCTTCAAGTCATCAGTCCATTGTGGCGCACCGTGCATTTTTTATAAGCTTTATGATTACTTCTCCTTCAACTAAACAACTATCTTTTTGGATTATAATAAGGACTAAGATAATAGAGTTTAACTAAAAACAAGTACAACAAGTAACACCTTGTCTCTCATTTGCGTTCTTTTTGGTTTTTTTTTTCGATTCTCGTGAGTGTGATTTCTTGATGTGTCTAGCAGGAAGCCAGGGTAGCATGCACTATTTGGTTTAACTAATAAGTGTGCTAGACATCTGACTTATCACCTTGCACCTGACGGCCAGGTCAGGTGGAAGGTAAGAAGTTTTTTATAAGTATAGTTTTAATACCCTTTTTCTCGTCTACCCTCCGTAAAGTGAACTGTGCTGAAAAGTTAGTCGCGATTAAGATTGTGTATTTATTAATATTTTGTGGTAAATTCTACCCAAAAACCTTGTTAAAATCAACAATACTACAGTCTAATATTCAATTGTTAAACATAACAATTTGTGTAATCAAGAAATTTAGAACAAACTAAAGAATTTCCTTCGATTCATACTAACAAAATTTATTTAAAATGTGTTGCCAATCCAAAAGTGATGTTAGTAATGACGACAGTGCTGTTCAGTGTGATAGGTGCAAGCGCAATGTGCGCTCGAAATGTAGCAACTTGACAAGTTCTGCGGCTAGGGTTATGGGGCTCAAGTCGCGACGCATTCTTTTATACCTGTGCGCGCCTTTTCGTGAGGCTTTATTCCCAGCACCAAAATAAAAAAAGTCTCATGATGCAGTGACGCTCGCGTAAGAGCTCGATGACATAAAAAAATAACTAGCCAAGCAAATTCCCGGCCAAAAGAACGACAGAAGACGACAAGTGCCATCGATGCGAATTCTATCATTGGAGAAATGGCAGAACGTGAGCATCGAACTAATATTATTACTGTGGTTGGTATAAAAGAATCCAACTCGGATGATAAATACAGTCGCAGTGCCAAAGACGAATTAGCACTTAAAGAAATCATAGAGGAAATCACTGGGGATAGTGGAGCATCAGCTAAAGTGGTCAAGATAATTCGCTTAGCTCAAAAAGACAGCTTAAAGCACAGGCCTATGAAAGTTGTTCTGAAGAGTCGATCTGATGCTGTCCACATTTTAAAAACCAAGGCTAAAGCGCGTAAGGAGGTAAGATTCTCTAATGACAGGACACCACAGTAACGAGGAGAACTCAACCAGATAGCTGCACCAGAGCCTCAAAGAAAAAATAGATAAAGGTGAGATAGATATCACTATAAAATATGTTAGCGGAATACCAAAGATTGTCAAGACAAAAAACTAATAAGTAGTAACACTCCATTTTTTTACGTGTGGAAACCCCATCGGGCTGACACCCCACCGGGGTTTGCAGCGGGTTGGTGTCTTGGAATCGGACCGACTAAAACCACACGGTGTGCCACTCTGCGTCGGTAATAGGAGGGATTCAGGATCTGCTGTTATTAAGACATCCGGACCCCTCCTAGCCCGACAACCCCCGTGTACAGCCGTCTCGTTGCGACAAGCAGTAACACTCCATACACTAACCTCACATTTTATTATACCAACACATGACACAAACGCACAAAAACTCACGTTCATAATTGTTACAGAAACTTGGCTTAATAATAATGACAGGAACAGTACCTATGCTATACGAAACTACACTCTCTTTAGGAAAGACCCATCCCAATAATTGCAAGAATAACCCGTATATATGGCTTACATGGTGAAGGCGTTTTATATATCTTGATATACAAGAGACTTCAACTACCCAGACCTCATCTGGCCTATGCCAAGACCAAAGACTGAGTGATACATCACAGTTGTTGCCCTGTTCCTTGACAGCAATCACCATTAGCTAGTATCCAGCCCAACAAGATTTCGACAGAACAATATACCATCACTGCTAGATCTCGTTATGACCAACGATGGTTCTATATTATCCAATATAAACCATCTACCTCCTATGGCTCGGCTCACCTATCCTGTTCAACATTTTCACTGCTGATTTAATAGCATTAATAGAGTGTGAGTCATACTTTTTTGCTGATGATGGAAAGTTCTTTGGTGATCCTGTCATTCGGTCAGGACAACTGCAATCAGATCTGGACAATTTTGACAAAGAGTGGATTGCGAAGCTCAATGCATCCAAATGTACAGTATTGCATCTGGGTAAGAACAACCCTGAAGTACCATACACAATAGGTGACACAATAGGTGACACAATAGTTGCATCTGTCAAGTCGCAAAAAGATCTTGGAGTAACGATAACCAGCAACTTCAAATGGGCTGACCACATCAATATTATAGTTAAAAAGGCAAATTCTTTCTTATATGCTATACGACGTGCATTCCAACACATGACACCTTCAGTTTTCACCAAAATTCATAAAACTTATGTTAGGCCTCTGTTAGAATACGGTTTTCAAATTTGGAAACCCTACCTTGTAAAGGACGTTGACCTGCTGGAAAGTGTGCAAAGGCGAGCAACTATGATACCGTATGGACTGCGACATAAGACTTACGAGGAACGCTTAAAAGTGTTAAAATTACCTACATTAAAACATCGCAGGATGAGAGGTGATCTTATTGAGACCTATAAAATACTAAGCTCAAGATATAATCTTCCGAATATCAAGGATATGTTCCTCCTCCAGCGGAAAGCATATTCATCACGGGGACAAAGCTTCACAATAGATCACTCACACTAACAGTAGCTGGTATCCTATCACACTTTAAACAATCTTGTTGTTGCGATATAGAACAAGCTTCAAGAACGGGGGGGGGGGGGGGGGTTTGTAATGTATGTTTTATACCTGTTATTTAATAAAACTTTAATACAAAAAATAATAAAGAAAAGAAGGCTAAACTTTCCTTTTCCGTACATCGATTTTTGGGTTGAATTTTTTTTCCGGATATGTTAAACTATTATAAGCACACACGTAAAAGTTTCAACACGCGGAGACGCGTAATTTTTGAACAAAAAAATATTGAAAATCAATTATTTTTGCAATTCTTCTGTCAATATTACACTATTAATGACAAGCTTTATAAAAGATTATATGAAATTCTCATCACGAAACGTTTCGTTTCATCTATGGTTAAGTTGTCATACGTTCCGTAACATTTTATTTTACATAAATTTACGTAAATAATTATATTTTGTACTCATTTAAATAATTTTCATGCACACATATATTTAAGAGTTTATATATATTAAATTACAGCATTATTTTCATTACAAGCTATTAAAATGTGTAGTGTTTACCGTCTTTAGCCGACTTGTGGAACGAAACGTAAAACTCCGTCCTGCAACGAGTTGTCATACGTTCAGGAACATTTTATTTTATATAAATTTACATAAATAATTATATTTTGTACTTATTTAAATAGTTTTCATGCACACATATTTATATATGAAATTACTGCATTATTTTCATTACAAGCTATTAAAATTAAAAATAAAATGTGTAGTGTTTACCGTCCTTAGCAGACTAATGGAACGAAACTTAAAAATCCTTTCTGAAACGTCTCCGGCGCTGCGGGAAATGCAGCCTCTACGCCCTTGCGTAACAAATCGAAGGCATCCGTCCTCGCCTCCGCAGCTTCGGCTTGCTGGTCGCCTTCGGCGACCAGCCTCAGCCGCTCCGGCTCATCCGATGCCTGCGATTTGTTACAGAGGGCGGAGGCTGCTCTCCCTACGCGCCTCCGGTTCTATAAAAACACTGGGGTAGGACAGAGTCGTAACACGTGGAGTCGGGGTCAATCAATACGGTTCTGTGACATAAGTTGAACCTAACCTAATTTATTTGTTATCTGCCCTAACAGGTACTGTTATGCTATAATTTATCATATATAAACTGTTAAATATATATTTATATAAAATTTACGTAAATTTATGTAAAATAAAATGTTACGAAACGTATGATAACTTAACCATAGATGAAACTAAACGTTTCTTGATGTGAATTCTATATAATCTTTGGTAAAGATTGTCATAAAAACTACAATTTTGACAGAAGAATTGCAAAAATAATTGATTTTCAATATTTTTTTGTTCAAAAAATATGCGTCTCCGCGTGTTGAAAGTTTTACGTGAGTGCTTATAATAGTGTAACATTTGTGGAAAAAAAATTTCAAGCCCAAACTCGATGTACGGAAAAGGAAAGTTGAGCCGAAAAGAATAATATAAGAATAAAGAAAAAGAAAAAAAGAAATAATAAAACAAAAATTCTTATTTTCAAAACAAAATAGATTCAAATACTAGTAGTGATCAGGGATGTTTTTTTAAGGGTAATCAAGGTAACCAGATTATGTAAAAGTACTTAACTATGTTGAAACCTTAACTTTTAACTAACAAAAAAATTACTTAATTAACTATTAAGATACAGATAATGTCTAAAAGAAAACTAAGGAGTTTTCATACACAAACTAGATATTATAAGCACAAAACTATTTGTTTTATTTTAGTACATCCACTAGTAGTGAGAGCCAGAAAGCCTCAATTTATGCGAAGTATTTTTAAAACGGCTTACCGTGAATAGTTTTAGCTTTTCCTTGGTCAAAAACCATTTGACCATAGATAGTTTGACCGGGAAAATAAGCACCATTATCACTGTCCAAGAGTATCTGTCCATCATCAAACCCCATTATAAAAATACTTTTAACACTTTTGGCAAACCAACGCACGTCAAAACACTCCGGTACAATTTGACTACAACAGTCGTCACTAGAGTTGTGTAGCTCCTGAGTGAGTGATATAAAAGATATATATCATTCACGACGATAAAATGTATCACTCACTCACACTAGCTCCGAATATATCAGTAACTCAGTACTAGCTCACTAGATCACTAGCTTAACGACGCCGATCTTTGTTTCATGAGCGAGTGAGACTAAAGATAAATGAGTGAGATAGATGATGGTTGAGTTCACGCAAGTTTCTTTATGCAAAATGTACATTATTTCTATAGGATCAAAGTTTAATATTACTTAAGAATTAAGCCAAGTACAAGGAAAATCAAATTATGTATGATTTCTATTATACAACCTAAAAAAAAGTACAAGAAATAATTTCTTATTTTTAATTATTATGTAAAAGGGTGTTAATAATTATGTAATCTTATCAAAATGAATAAAATTTTATTTAAAAAAATAGGTTAAAAATGTAGTTTCAAAAACTGAATTTAGGTTAATATGAAAATAAAGAAAGGTTTGTATGGCGAGAGAGGCTTAAAGTGAGTGATATACGAGTATACTGAGCTAAACGATCTAGATGGAGAAATGAAATAATTGAGAGACCAATCAATTGAATCGGATCAATGAGCTAAATGAGCTAGTGAGCTAAACGAGTTAGTGAGCTAAATGAGCTAGTGAGCTAGTGAGCTAGATGAGTGATATATATCTTTTGAGTGAAATGATATATATCAATCTTTTCATCTCAGTGATACATTTTGCGCATCACTAGTCGTCACAAAATAAGAAGCCCGTTTTGACATTTGTCATGGTGGCCTAACTAGTGACTAACCATACGACTCGGTGCACGATACTTACGATAAATCGATACAAGCTTGTAGAGTATTTGATTGATTTGACTATGTTCACAAAGTGCATTGGATTTAAGTTATAATTAGAACATATAACTTAAACTTTAATGTTATAGGCAATTTGAAATGATACAATGGAAAGAAATGTCAATTTGTCTAATTTAAAAATTTAGTTCAATCACAACAAAATCAAGAAAAGTGAAATCAATCATTTTCTTTGCTTGATGACGAGCCAGATGAGCTATCGTCGCCTGTATACATAATTATTTTATTTTCTATAATATTATCAATATTGATGTCTCTATCATAATCTTCCTTTATTATTTTTCGCGTCTTTTCTACCACTTTTGCCCAATCTTCTTTAGTTATTTTATCACAATCTTCTTTTAACAATGTCATCATATTCTTAGTGGAAAATGGTGGCTTTGTATTATGACGTGCTGCGTATCCTTTGACCTGAGCCCAGATTAATTCAATAGCATTGTACTGACAATGGTACGGCGGCGTTCTTATCCATTTGTGACCATGTTGAAGTGCCAATTCATCGATTTTATATCTTAATTTTGCAGGTTTATTTTGTTTTACTAATTCCAGGAGTTCAGCTTTCAATAAATTCATGTCAGCTTCTACGCCTTTTCTTTGTAATCACGCCACTAAATCTGCCTTTTTGCTTGCTTGAGAAGGTGCCTTATCTATTTGAACTGAATGGTAAGGTGCATTATCCATAATTATTGTGCACTGTTCGGGGAGGTTTATTAACAACTTAGTAAACCACTCTAAGAATTTATTTGCATCCATTTCTTCGTGGTATTCTTTTGTACTTCTGGACTCGAATGCGTGTAGAGCATCATGCACAAAACCTCCCCCAGCTGATCCGGCATGGCAGATTATTAGGCGTCCACCCTTACCCATTGGCACTTTTGAACAAGATGCCTTGGTATCATCCGTCCATGACTGTGGCACGGTATGATTCGGGTTCAGCCAAGTTTCATCGATAAATATGACACTATCCCAATTTGTAATTTTGTTCATTTGCCTCAAGAATGATACTCTGTGCAAAATTATATCATATCGTTCCATCAAAATTTTGGTCTTGTCGGTTTTCTTGTATTTGAAACCAATTTGCTTCATAATTGTTACTAAAGATGTTGCACTGCCACTAAACAGGCCAGCCTCTCTTAGTGATACCACCAACTTACTTACAGTTGGGTACTCACTTCTCGTGTAATAAGCATATACGTGGTTTCGAATAGCATCTGCGTCAAATGTGTCAATACCTGTTACAGGCCTGCTTTTCTTCCTCTTCTTAGGCGTATGTAACACATTTTCTTCAGTACCGGAAGACCCATACTTTTCCTTCAAAATGGTTCGAATAGTTTTTTGCCCATTCCAAGTGCTTCTGCTACGCGATCTTGCACTTGAGTTACGGGTAATAATGATCCACCTCTTTTCGACATGTTGAAACTGATAGAAGAGCCAAGGTCAACGTGATAGTAAACAAAAACAGTCCAAAAGCTAAGCCGAGTCTAGAAAAAAATATCAAACATAAACGAGCGCACAGTCAACTTCACAAGATGTCGAACGAAAGACTGCGCAGTACGCGGTACGCGCATGGATCACGTGCCGCTTGGTCATAGACAAACCATTCTATAGGTTCATAGAGAAAGGAAACAAATTATGTACGGCTTTGATAATTCTTTTATAGACTGACTTTTAAGGACTGTTGTCAAATGCGACTGTTGCAAAATGAGACATGACGTTTGAGACAGAAAAATGAGGATGAATTATTTTGTGCAAAAAATTTTTGTGTAAAAAACCCGGAGTCCACTCCGGGTTTTTTAACCAAATCATTTAGTATAATCTTCGATCAATAATAGTCCTAGATTCCCGATAAGCGCTTCAAAAACGGAACGAAAAATAAGAGCACAAAAGTGTTTGTGCTCTTATTTCAAATTAGTATGGTCCAATCATAGCCAACAATAGGACGTCAAAATGCCGCAGTGCGCGTTCAAAAACTGTGTAAATAACCACCGTAACACCAAGGTTTTGAAAGGAATATCTTTTTTTCGGCAAGTTAATATCAATAAGTGTTTTTTCATAATATAAAAAGTATAAACAGAATTAAACTGTAAATATAATTCAATTAGCGAATGTTATAATTGTTTGGCCAATGTTTGCTACAACGCATCAATTATTGTATCAAACATCGACTGTTCTTGAACAGGGAATGCATGGAGTAGTGTGGTTATTTTGTAATGTTATTTTTGTTTGTAGATTTACTAGTGACTTATAGACTTTTAAGCTATAGACTTTTGTAATAAAACCTTAAATATTCATCACAAATCAGATCAGAGAATCAGAATGCACAGTAGAATTTATTAAGATTCTAAATGATCTTTTTGATATCCTAAATACTAGAAATCTTAAGGACTTTGGATTCAAACACTCTTTACATAAGGGTAGTTCACAAAAAATATTGTCGTTCTTGTCTTAAATTAAAGACTACCCATTGTCATTATCAATTAATGTTACAAATAAAAATTCTTAACAAAACTTCAAAATTGGTTCGTTAATTTGATGTGGAATTTAGAGATATTTTATTTAGTATGTCTGTGCGGGTCCTGCTTTTGGTGCCAGGGCGGGTCGCTTAAAGCATTAAATGCCTACATTTTTTTGCATTAGCTTGTTGGTTTAGATGAGTTTTATTTATGTGGATGAGAATTTATTCACTCGCGCGTAGTTTTTAATTTCAATTCACAACGGCAAAAGTGTAACTTAATTTTGTTTTATCTCAGAAAAACCTAATAAAAAATTTACCCGGCCCGGGAATCGAACCCTCCAATGCAGCTTTTTTCAAATTCCACGTGAATGAAGCCACGGGCACCAGCTAGTACTAAATAAAAAGATGAAAATATTCACACTGTCAAAATATTATATTAAAAACAATGTGTAATGTATTCTGTCAGATTCTGTCTCATTCTCTCGCCGACTGACTTAATCCTATACATTTATATGTTTGTTTCTTTAACGTGACTCATTTTCGTTTCATTGAGTTTTAAATCACAATGATTCCAAAGAAGTTTCACTTCAAAATTTATTTCTGGTTTAAATAAATAATAATAACAGTATTTATCACAACAAGCTGAAGAGATGTTTATTAATCAGCTTGATTGACTTTTTAATCAACCGTCTTTCATAGAGAATCAAAGGAAAATAGTCTGTACTTTAAAAGACTGAATATTTATATTAATTTAACTAGTTTTTCATACAAATCTTAATTATTGAGATCTTTCTATTTATTCTAAATTATCGATAGGTTGGCTTAATGTATTTACATCTCTATTACCAGTAGGAGGAGCCGACTACTGTCATTTTAATCGATGCATCTATTTGTGTTGTGTATAACTGTCAAAATTTGGTCAAATGAATTGTATTGGATTGTTGTGGCGTGCAGTGGTGTGGTAAAATCAATTATTTTTGTCATGGGGTTTGATGCCGGACAGATACTTTTGGACAGTGATAATGGTGCTTATTTTGCCGGTCAAACCATATTTGGTCGAATGGTTTTTGATCAAGGAAAACCTAAAAATATTCACGGTAAGGGGTTTTAAAAAACTGCATAAATTGAAGCCCGTGACTTTGTAGTTAGGACTAATATATTCGCTAAATTCGGTTGCATTGCGAGATCATATTAGTAGTCTAGTGTCTGGTTTGAAATATTTTATTCTTTATTTTAACGAAGACTAAAAGTAGGCGGCTTTTAAAAATAAACTTCAGGTAACTAGTTTGACTGAAGTGTGTTTACATAAATGCTTATCGAATTCGATAATAGTAATAGTTTACATATTTAGTACTAGCTTTATAGCTACTATAGTACTAGCTATACTAGACTTCGTTCACGTGTAATTTGAAAAGCGCATCCTTAGTGGGTTCGATTCCCGGATCGGTCACAATTTTAAAGGGGTTTCCTGAGAGGAAAAATAGCTAATATAAAAATAGACAGCTACCTGGTAGTGAAATATTATCAAAATCGGTCCAGCCGTTTATAAGTTTACTTGAAACGAACAAACAGACAGACAAAAAAAGAACTGTTTTTAGGCATAGGTATTATGCAAATAACGGTGTGAGCATAAAAGAAACCTACTATATTGACATGACATTAATGAAGTTGAAGTGTGTTTGTAACAGACACTTCAACTTTATTAATTTGTATAGTTTTTTTACGATATTTTTTAAAATAGAATTTTGATAAATTTAGTAAACATAGTGCCAATGTAGTTATACATTTTCGATAATCGTTTAGGTAGGTATATTATTAGATTTTCTGGGTTACACTCATAGGGATATAAGCATAGAGAGAACATAGAACATAAGACCCGATTAAGGGAGAAAACTATGCAGGACAACAGCATTGCAAAGAGAAGGAAAACTTGACACAAACCCTTTTTTTTTTTTTTTTTTTTAACGTGTGGAAATCCCCTCGGACCGTCACCCCTCCGGGGTTTGCGGCGGGGTGGTGTGTCGGACTCGGACCGACTAAAACCACACGGTGTGCCACTCTGCGCCTGTAACAGGAGGGATCCGGGAACAGCTGTTGTTAAGACATCCGGACCCCTCCTAGCGCCAGCCCGCTCCTGGTGCGGGCTCCGTCTCAATATTGTTGTTTTCCTCTCTTTAGGCGACGTCCGGCACACGCGGACGCCGCCCCCTCGCGGCTGGCCAAACTAATGCGGGTGGAGGGGAAACCCACCCCGTCCACCCGCGGCCACACTCAGGGCGGCATGAGGCTGTGGTAGGCGGGCCTCCGCCGCCCGGTTCGCCGGCGGCGGATCGGGTCCGAGTGGAGGTCGTCCTCCCGGGCCCTCTCCGCCGCCTCCTTCCGCGAGATTACTACCTCGCAGAAGGTTGCGACCGCGGTAAAACAACTGTCGCTACCGGCCATGGAGCGTACTACGGCCGGTAGCGAGAGATCCACTCCGATGACTGCAGTGAGGGCCCGACGCTGCGCCGCCCATGCGGGGCAGACCGCCAGCGTGTGCTGGGCCGAGTCCTCACTGCAGTCGCAGTGGTGGCAGGCGGGACTCAGTTCCCTCCTAGCGACAGGTACTTCCCGAAGCAACCGTGCCCGGAAAGCACCTGCGTCAGCCGGAAGGAAAGGGTCCCGTGCTGCCGCCCTGCCCACTCGGCGATGACCGGCTGGAGAGCCTCCACGGCGGCGAAGCCAGCGCGTGGAGTCTCCAGCCGGAACGACCAACGAGCCATCGTGGCTCGGCGAGCGGCTTCGCGCCACTCGCGCACATCCTCGGGCGGAGGGCGAAATCCGCTCTCCGCCCGGAAGTCAGCCACTCGCCGATAAACTTCGGCGAGCACTTCCGCCTCCAAATCCCACGGGGGAGTTCCGGCCAACGCGCACGCCACCTCCGTCGAAACGGTGCGGTAACCGCGTATGGCTCTGACCGCCATTACCCTCTGAGGGCGCCAGAGGCGTACCCTATTCTGGGCGGTCAGAGCCGCCGCCCACGCCGGTGCACCGTACAGTGCCATTGACCGGACAACCCCCGTGTACAGCCGTCTTGTCGCGACGCTGGGTCCACCCATATTGGGCAAAAGTCGCCCTAGGGCAGACGCAGCGCCGACCAGCTTTGGAGCAAGCTGTCGGAAGTGCTCGTCGAAGAGCCACCTCCCGTCGAGGATCAGGCCCAGATATTTCATCTGGGCCCGAACCGGTACGAGGACCGAGTTGACCACTATTGAGGCGCCAGGGGGTGGACCACGACGGGGCCCATGGAATAACAGGGCCTCCGTCTTATCTAGGGCCACCCGTAAGCCCAGCGCCCGACCACCAGGGAGACTCCCCCTGTGGCCAGGCGCGCCGCCTCTTGGAAGTTTGCCCCCCGGGCTGTCACGAGGGTATCGTCTGCGTAACAGATTACACCCAGCCCGGGGGGGAAATCGGCGCGAAGGGCCCAGTCGTACCCTATGTTCCACAAGAGGGGTCCAAGAACAGACCCCTGTGGAACACCGCACGACATGGGCCGACACCTCAAATTACCTTCTCGGTCCTCGTACACGACGGTACGCTCCTCTAAATAGTCTGCCACTAGCCGCCTCAGGTACTTTGGCACCCCATGATAGTGGAGTGCTTCCCTGATGCAGCTGAATGGCAGACTATTGAATGCGTTGGCGATGTCCAGTGACACCGCCAACAGCACGCCGCCACAGCTCACGGCCTCTTCGGTCACGGCCCTCAGGCGCAACACGGCGTCGACTGTCGAACGCCCCGCCCGAAAACCAAACTGGGCGTCCGACAGATCGGGGCCCACCTCGCAGAGGTGCCGGACGATGCGGGCAGAAAGAACCCTCTCAAACAATTTGCCCGCCTCGTCCAGCAGCACGATGGGCCTATAGGCCGCGACCGAATCGGCTGGCCGTCCCGGCTTCCTCAATAGGACCAGCTTCCCGCTTTTCCAGCACTCAGGGAAGCGTCCCGACGCCAAGCTAGCGTCGAACACCTCCCCGAGGCGGTCTGCCATGTGGTTGAGGGCCAGGGCCAGCACTCGGGCCGGTACCCCGTCTGGCCCAGGGGCGGTGTTCTTGGAACGGATCCGTAGAACAGCCGCCCCTACCTCCGAATCCCGGACGGGCGGAACATTGTCCTCCCCGTGCTCCCCGTCGTCTCCGGCCAGGGAGGCCATCGACGGGGGAGTGTGTTCCGCTCGTTGTGGGAAAAGGCCCTCAACCACTTCTCGCAGGAAGCTGGGCTGGAGAGTCTCCGTAAGGGGGGGGCCCGACGCGCGGAGCTTTTGTCGCACCGCGCGGTAAGGGCGACCCCAGGGGTCACGATTAAGACCCTCCAGCATCTCCTGTCTCTTTTCCTCTTTGGCGCGGCTAATGGCCAGCTTCAGAGTTTTCCGCGCCCGCCGGTACTCCTCATGAAGCCGGTCCTCCTCACCGTCTCCACGGTGACGCCGCCGACTGCGTGTGTAGGACCTCCGGGCACGTGTACAGGCCGCACGGAGCTCCGCCAGCTCCTGGGACCACCAGTAGACCTCCTTCCTTGGAGGCCGACGACCTCGAACGCGGGGCATGGCCGCATCGCATACATGCGTAATCGCATCGCGAAAGCGGCCAGCCCCCACGTCGACCTCCTCGGTCGGAGCCTGAGGAGACAGCCACGAGTGAATTATGGCTGCCTCCTCTAGTAGGTCCCGGTTCAGCCTGGCAACAGCCCACCGCGGAAAGCGGGATAAACGCCGCGCCACGTGACCCCTACTGGAGTCCTGGGTCCGGGAGAGCTCAAATCGGATATACAGGTGATCCGAGAGCGTCTCAACCTCTTCCAGGACACGCCAGTTCCTTACTCGTGCGGCGAGGGCAGGGGTAGCGAACGAGAGGTCCACTATCGACCCCCCCTGCTGTCGCACGCACGTGTTGGTGGAGCCTCTGTTTAGAAGACAGAGGCCCACCGAGGCCGCCCACTCCTCTACGGCCTCGCCCCTGGCGTCCGTCCTGGGGGAACCCCACGCAATGGACTTTGCGTTGAAGTCCCCCAGCACAAGGACGTGCCCAGACGCTAGTCGCCGTATCGAGGTCTCCAAGCTGATTAGGAAAACCTCGAAGTCGTTCAAACTCCGGTTGGGGGAGAAATAGACACCATATATGGTGATCCCCCCCCACTCGACGGCAACATATCCAGTGCCCTTGTCTCTTAGCGACAAGGGCGGGGAATGAGCCGTCGTGGAACCGACGACTGCCACGGAGCCGTCCCAGTCACCCATCCAGTTTGGACGGGGAGGGACAGAATAGGGCTCCGCGACTACGGCAACACCTATCGACCACTGTGCCATGGTTTGCAGGAAGAGATCCTGCGCCGCGGCACAGTGGTTCAGGTTCGTCTGGACCAGGAGGTTGGAGACTTGATCCATTACTGGATCGTCTCTACAACCTCCTCCATGGGCGACGACGACGACGCACGTACTACGTCGGAGGCAGCCTGGGTCGACTGGCTAGCCCCTGACGTCTGCCGAGAACTGCGGGGAGGCTTGCAGCCTCTCTGCCCCATCTGGTGATTGGCGGGCTTATTGCCCGCCGCACACGCTGGGCAGTGAGGGGCGGCAGAGCATTCTGCCGCCTTATGCCCCGGTTGACCGCAGCGGAAACACAGTCCGCCGCAGTCAAAACAACTGTCGCACTTGACGCGCGTGTGTCCCGTGGCCAGGCATTTAAAACACCTCATCGGTCTCGCCGCCAGGACTGTGATCCTGGCGCTCACGAAACCGATGAGCAGCCTGCCGGCGTCGGCCAATACTTTGGCCGACGCTACGGGACAGCTGACCCACACGGCGCCAAGCCCTCCTGGACCGGGGCGGATGGTGCCGACCCTGACGTTGTCCGCGCTGCACCCCGTCTTCTCCCGGATTACAGCGCGGACATCTTCGGCCGTCACTGAGTCGTCCAGGCCCGAGATGCGCAGTTTCCGCGCACTTGGTAGGGCCACCCTTTTTGGCCCGGGAAAGATTTT